AGTCTGGCCCTTCTAAAGTTAAGGGTACCTATCAGCCCTCAACCAGCGCAAGACACTAAGAGATTGACATCTGCCCTTTGAAAAATGTTACAATCGTAAAAAATTGACAAAACATTTTGAATTTGATAATCTTTAGTGGCCCCGGCGACGACCAAATAAAAAAAAACTGTATGCCTACTGCTAAAATAAATTGTACACTACTTACAGAGCTATCGATATCGATGGCTTTTTTCACGTTGTTCTTTTCTTTTTTTAGATTGCCGAGTGTGCCTTAAAGGCTCCCTCACATGGTGAAAGTAGCAAAGAACCGCACCTGGGCGGGGGTTAAGTACGCCACTACTGGGGCCCCTAAGGTAAGGGTGGGGCCCCTTGAGCAGGTTTGGCCTCCCCCTTTTCAAGATCCTGGATACGCCACTGGTCCTATGACGCATTTGCCGCATTTTGGAGGTTGACTAAGGGGTCACAGGGGTCAAAATAGCCAAATTAGCGGCTCTAGATCAAGATGCGATCACAGTTTTTTACGAATAACTTTTGAAGTAATCCAGCTAGGCCAAAACTTCGAGTACCATCGTAATTCTCTCGTCAGTCCGCATCGAAAGATATATGTGTTGACCTTGAGAAGTCAAGGTCAAAGGTTGACCTCAGGTCACGTTGCATCAGTTCGCTTGACCTCAAGGTTACGTGATTTCAAGGTCATCATGCATATCATTCGATGCGTCTTGGCGAGCTGAAGTGAACAGAATGAGACCATTTGTGCGGAAGTACCGTTTTTATGTAAGGATTTATTAGCAAAAAAACGTTTGGTAGCCTTTGATGACGTCACATGCTCTTACAGTTGACCAATCGAAAGTAAGGCGTCGAAGTAGTCAAAGTTGGTCATGAATAATGTCATTTATGGTACAATTGACCATGAAAACTCGGCCGTCCCAGCATAGTGACCATGAGCGCACCGGCCAAGTTGCCCCGCTAGTCCCGGCCAAATTACCCCATATTGCCATTCTGAAAATTTTTGTCTATAAAGTCATCACGGCTATACGGAATTAGATAAAATTGCTCTTGGAACCGCTGAACACCCCCAAGAATGCCGCTATAATGTCTGAATTCGTTTTTGCCCAAACACTACATGTTATACAACTTTGTAAACAGAAGTAAAAGTTACCATTTTCTATTGAAATTAACGTTTTATTAATTTTGAATAAAACTACGAGTGGCAAAGTTTTGACATTTGTCCTCCAGTTATTTCTACCCATGACAAATGAATAGAGACTAGAGTTATTTCACTCACTTTTATTAGACATCGTACAGGTGGGGGCGGCCAATTTATACCACCGGCCAAATTACCCCACTCTCCCCTACCCTGAAACTTTCATGACCCTGACCCAAATGACCTTTGACCTGTGACCTCTTTTCCGAGACCATGTTTGGCCGGAATCGCGATTCGGCGTACGTCGGCTCGCATTAGCCGCGCGTTTGCAAGCTTTTCGTGGTTTCAAACGTTCAAACATGTGATTTGATGTTGCTCCCATGCATTAGGGTGGGTGTCAAGGTCATCTGAAGGTCAGGTCAGGTCAGGTCATTGACCTTTGGTGACCTCGGGTGACCTCGGTTCACTTTTTCGAGTTTTACATGTTTCTAGGCTAGTTTTTGGAGCTGAATTCGAATTTAACAACCATTTGAACATTTACGAAGTAGTTTTGGTGCCTTCGTAACATGTTACGAAGCTGTCAGAGGCGGTTGACACGTACTACGAATACCCGTCACGACGCCTACTGATTGACCTGACCTGACCTGACCCGACCTGGTCTAAATGCTTAAAGACATCATCTGTGATCAAAACTAACACGATATTCGTGATCAGTACCCCGAAAAACCCCTTAGCAGCCACATTTTACGACTTTCTAATAGGTCCCGATTTTCCCGACTTTGGGTCATTGACCTGACCTGGAAGGTCAACCAATGACCTAGGACCTTAAAATTGGGTATAATCGGCTTCCTCTCGTCACGGGCAACACGCTCGTTTTTTCCGCAAAGCTCTAGCTCGATCAGGGGCCAAACGGCAAGGGGGGTCCAACCGACCCCCCCCCCCCCCCTACACATTAGAAGCTGGAAAACGTCGCACACATGCAAGGGTTAAATTTAAATATAACATAACTCACCTCTTCTTTTTTCGAACTATGCCGGGTAGGTATCCCTCAGTTTCTCGATCGATCTGCTCCGCCGTTCACGGTTGGCACCGACCTCCTGACGCCGGCGGGGAATGTCTGCTGGTCCATCAGTTCACCTCCGTGTTCTCCGCGGCGCATGCGATTGATAAAAGCTTCATCGACAATCACCGAGCTCTTCACAGATAACTTACCCGTCCCATCCTTCGCTGCACGCCTTCCCCGCTCCTGCACTCTCCCGCACAATTTCACAATAGCCTCAACAATTCAACGTGAACTACGCGAGTCACCGCGCCACAACGGACTGAAGCGCGCGCCGCGGTTTTCGAACGCAACGGCTATAATACTCATCACGCGAACTCACGCATCACGCAGGAAACTCACCCTGCCGCGCATGCGCGCATCTTCAAGCCGGGGGTACCTCACGCACAACTGCACGTGAATTCGCGAGAACTCATGCATTGCGCAGGAAACTAGATTTGCCCAAGCAAAACTCATTTCCGACTCAGTTCGAATTCACGAAACTAAGCACTCAGAACTCACGCATAACGAAGTCACCCTGGTGATGTGAGTTAGATCAGCCAATAAGTGAGCACCACTATCGTATTCACTGAGTTTCTTCATGAGTTATTACTGAGTAATGCCTGGCCTGAGTAATTTTTTTTTTCAGTGTAGCTGTTGTATGATAGGGAAGATTGATACTGGATGAATCTTTCACGGCTTGTCGTCGGTTCTCGCCTGCCATCAAGCCAGCAATTCACACTCGTCCACGGCGGTCGTTGTGGGCTGTTCAGGCTGTTCTACAATCCACTTCTGAATCCTCACTATCAGGGTGACATCCGGGGCGCGTGGGGAGCCGGGCGGCTGTGGGGGCGAGCTGCGGCCGGCCGACCTCTATATGCCGGACATTGCTGACAGCTTCCCGACGCTGGCCGCGGCGACGGCAGTGGACTGAGACCCAGTGATGACACGCACAGGAGAGTTGGGCTGTGCAGGGACCGATCCCTAAAGTTATGGCTCACTGGGTGAAGTCGCTGGCTCATGATCATGAGTTTGTGGTTTTCGTAGGTAGCTCAGTGACGGAGTTCGATTTTCCCAGGGTGGTTGAGGTTGGATTGTCCAATCGCAGACATGTCTTGTAATGGATAAGACATGAGGCATTAGATCAATGCCTTGTTTACTCACATGCTCGGTGGCTTGTCATTTCTCTGATTACAGAGCACGTTGTAAATCTGGTATGAGTGACGTCTGTCCCAGCGGCCCACGTGCGGTCGTTCCCACCCGCTAACGGAGGGGCGCACGCACACATCCATTCACGCACGTCGGTGGCCGCCCCGTGGTCACGCGCTCCTCATGTGCCTGGCATTATTGTGGGCGGCACCGCTGCGTGCTGAGGAGGGAGCCTGCTGTGACCTACACGGCGCTCCTGTTCTCTGTGCTGCCGCCGTGCTCTACTAGATTATTTCCTGGGTTGTATAGTCAGCAAAGGAATTTTGAGGCCCCAAGTTGTGCCCGCTTCCTGTCCCACCTTCCACCATTGCATTCCCCACCGTTCCTTTCGCTGTTCCGTGCCAGTGCCCGCTTCAATGAGTTATCACTACCCTCTTCGGTGAACCTTTACTGACCCTTGCCGCTGGCCCCTGCAGTGACCCACCGCTGTTCCATCCAGTGGCCTACCACGACCCCCTCCGTTGACCCTCTGCCGGTCCGCGCCGCCGCCCCCCCCCCCCTCTTGACCCACTGCTGGTCCATCCACTCCCTCCATTCACTGCCGAACCCTGCAGTGACCCAACGCTGCCCTCTCCGTCGACCCACCACGACCCCCTCCGTTGACCCTCTGCCGGGCCGCGCCGCCGCCCCCTCCGCTGACCCCCTGCCGGGCCGGCGCCGCTGGCCCCCTCCGTTGACCCCCTGCCGGGCCGCGCCGCTGCACGGCCCGTCGGCGGTGACGGCCGTCGGCCGAGATCGATGTGGCCGATTACCCCTGCTGGCGGCACTGTAATGAGCCGTGCCGACCGCTCGTTAGCCCGGCTCCACGGCCGGCCGACCCGGTGCCGCCCCGCCCCGGCTGGGCCACGGGCGGCGCCCGCTGGGTGACGGGTCCGGTCGCATTGGGGACAGGGTTTGGAGTGGTTGGGGGCGAGAAGAGGGCGATGAGGGAGCCGGGCGTGGTTGGAAGCTGATTTGGGGCTTTGGAGTTCTGGGGCACTGGTTCATGACGCTGAGGAGTTTAGGACATGGGTGTGGTGGACGGTGGTACGGGGCTCCGTCGGATGCTGAATGTTGGTACTCACTTCTTGATGTCTTTTGGCTGAGAAGAAGCTCGTCATGGATTCTTCGACGAGGTTTAAGTTTTGTGTGAATTCAGGAATTAGGGTTGTTGGTCGAGATTCAGAGTCCTGCTGGCTGATGTGGTGAACCGAGTGGTAGGGTTTGGGAGGAGAAGTTGTCTATCCTTATTGTGTGCCTCAATGTCGATCACTGAGCTAGTTCGCAGTCTTGGGTATGAACTACCAAACATGGGACAGGATAGGCACATCACTTGGTGTGAGCGGCCTCGCCAGTTCCTCCGGCGTTACGAAGTCCCCGCTGCGCCTCCTTTGTTTGGTGGGACCAAGCCTCTGTTTCGGTTTTCTCGGTGTCTCTGTTGCGCCGAGCTACTGGTCACGGTCTGTCTCTCGGCAGTCGAAGTTGCCGCGCTCGGCAGACGGCGCGCGCCACGTGCCGCGCCGCGGCGCGCCGGTCTCTGGCCGATGTCGGTCCGGCCGTCTGGGCGCCGCTGACCGATCAATAGGGGGCTCGGCGCGCGCCGTCGGTCGGCGCCGACCGTCGGCGGAGACGGCCGCCGGCCGCCAGCGACGCAGCACCGCCCGACATGCTCCTCTCTGACGGCGGCCGCTGCTGAGACCGAGAGTGGCCGCGCGCCGCGCCAGTGCCCCTGTGCCGACCGCAGTGAGCGCGTGCCGCCGACATGGCGCCCCGCTAGTGTGCGCGCTGAGCCGAGCTGAGAGGTGCGAGCTGGTGGCGTCATCCGCGTCGTCCGCCGCCGCCGGCCGCCTCCTCCGCCATCTTGTTATGCGGGAGCGGCGCGGCCCGGCCGGCGAACGGGAGCCGCGTGTGCAGAACAGGGTACTGCCGGCCAGCCGGCCCAGATAGCCTCGCTGAAACGCCGCCGGATGACGGACACCAGGTGAGCAACGGCGAGCGGTAGTGACCGGACCCGGCCTCGTCAGAGACCGCGACCCGAACCGACCTGACCCGACCTTGGCGGCAGTATTGACCTGACCTGACCCTGGCGAACTTTATGAGATGCAGATGATTGACTGTGGGGACTGCCGTAGCTCAACCTGGCCCCTAAATCAGTCAAGGACATGATCTTATCTCTGACCTGATCTGATTTGATCTGACTTGACGGGATCTTCGCCATGGTTGTCCGGCACGAACAGAAACATCATCAGGCCATGTTTCCGAAGCCTGTATGCTCATCGCGGTCTCTTTATAGCTTTCCTGCAATGATGGTTTGCACGGGTAGCGAAACAGCGCGCTGTCACGCCTCCGCGAGGCCCGCCGTTGTACCGCCGGCCGGACGGCCGAGGGACGCTGGGACAGCCGCAGAGATCGCTCACCCTCTCGGCTGGCCGGTATCGGACCGACCGATCGCAGGCCGGAGCAATGTGTTTACCATTCCGAGCCCAGTGTTATGCACGGCTATCTCCACCGTATGTATGTGCCGGTGATGCAAACGGCAGATCTGCCGAGATGCAAACATCGGTCTGCTTAGATGCAAGCAGCTTGTCCGCTGAGATGCAAACCGCTGGTCGACTGTGCTGCCGCTGAAAGGACCCGGAGCTGTGCTGTTTGAGAGTATGCTCGTTGTTGTCGGATAAAAACTGTGCTGAAATGGCAGGCTGACACTCTAGCAATGAGTACAAGACACCATCTCCATGTCGTCCTATCGGGATCGCTGCTGGGCTTGAGATAACAAGATATTTCCTATGGCTCTGGGAGATTTTGGCATCATTGTCACCTATGTCGTCTGACTCGTAGGCATGAAGCTTTTCTAAGCTATTGCGTGTGGCTTCTAACTTCTAAGTTGTTCCGTAACGGCTTTCGAAACACGTTTGTTTCAATAGACATTTTGACTTCGTCGTAACTAATAATTTCCGTCGTTTTTCAGCTTGTCAGGATTAAACTTCGCTGCAGAAGTCAATGTCGCCAGCCAAACTCCAGACCCGGTCTAGAGCTCTCCTGTTGAGTCTCGGGCGTTGTTGATGCTTACCCCACAGTTGGCGGCGGTTCAGCACGTTGCATCATTTGCAGGGACGCGCGACCGCTGTCTGCTTAGCTCACAGCGGGCTGCAGGGGCCGGTATCGCATGTTGTGATGCGGCGTGCGTCGTACCCCGCTCGCCTTATATGTATATTGCTGGTGAAACTACCGTGTCTCAGTGACAAGGCTGGTTGTTAGTCATGTAGTGTGTTTTGATGGCTGGGTCTGTCTGATTGAGGACAGTAGGACACCTACCTGCGGGTTAGAACAGGGCCGCCTTCATGGTTTGGTCGCTAAAGGCAAGATTTTAGATTTGGTGGGGCCGGGCTTGTCTGTAGCGAGCCACGCCCTCCTGAGAAATAGGGGCGGCCGGGCTGTACGCTCGTACCGGTGTCGGCCTTTGAGGTTTGCGCGTCGGCCGCGCCTTTGAAGCTGGGTCGGCGGTGTGCTCGGTCGGCTCGCCGGCCGGCTGACCTTTGGGTCACGGTTTGTTTGCGGGCGGCCGGCGCGGTGTTATGGGGGCCGGCGCCAAGTGAGCCGGATGGCCGCCTCCTCTGCCGGCCCCTGAAAGGCACCGACCGCCGAGGTTTTCTCTCCCACCGACTGACGGAGGATGGACAGATACGGGGAACGGGATCCGTGATACGGCGGCGAGGATAAATACGGGCGAACTGAGGCACAGGGATAGCAGACTGACTTGTCTAGCAGGCGGCAGTGTGTTTGGTTTCCTTACGCTCGTGGGTGACGAAGAGTTCAGGTCACCGCCACCTCAAATTGTTTAAAGACGCTCTTCTTCCGGGAATATCCTGCCTTTTCGCTCTCCATTTACGAATCTCGGTAGGCTGCCGTGCAGTCTGGCACACCGGCCGGCGGGCTGCACCCGGCTCCAGCTGCCGTTACAGCTCTATCTGGGCGCCGTGCACGTGCCTCGGGCCAGCTGGCACAGTTTCCTCCCCGGAGCCACCACCAGCCCTGCTCTGTACCCGCCCGGGTCGCGGCGGCACGCCGCTTTTGTTGCGTGCTAAATGCGCCGCCAGACATGCCACCCATGACCTGGCAGTAGGCACGTACCGCCGCTATTGTATTTCGAGCTGGGATGCTGCGGGGGCGCTGTGTCGGTTGTCGGGTAGTTACCGGGTGGTTGGTTACTGGGTGGTTACCGGTTGGTTACCGGGTGGTTACTGAGTGGTTACCGGGCTGATTTGGGGACTGGATGCTGAGCGGTGTTCCGTAGATATGTGAGCTCCGAGACGATGTGCTGATAGAGGCAGGTTTGAAAGGATTGAAGTGATCGAAGTGTTGGTTGTTGGTTGCTGAGTTGGTTGCTGAGTAGACCTGACTTCACATTTGGAGCGCAGAGCTGGGTTTCACTGCACAGGACAGTAATGGGTAGGCTACGAAGGTGGTGTTGGTGTCCTGGCATCTCGTCGCCAACGGTGTTTGATTATTTTCTGCAACTCCCAAACTCGCCCTGCGGGAAGCTCGTTACTTTCCAGCTATAAATGCTTGTACCGATCTGAATCCTGCTGCTAGGCAAATCGAACTTGTCCCTTGTCCTGCTGTGATCGGTAATTGATGGGCATGCAGTACCTACCGTCTTTTGGTCCGTAGTGGAAGAAGAGTCATTGCTGTGCAGTAGTTCGTTGGGCACTTATATCCGTGTTTGACGTCGCATACAGGCTACTGACATACTGACGGCTACCGACCGGGGGTCTGTCCGCGCCATACGCCTTATCTGAGGTATGGAACTTCTGTCTTATCTGTGGTGACTGGTGCGTCATCGCGGCGCCACCGACCACGGGGAAAGGTCGGCGGTCAGCGCCGCCTGCGCCGCGCCGGCCCCTCACGTGACCCGGGCGGGGTATCACGTGACCCGGGCGGGGTGTCACATGATCTAGACACCCACCTGGGGGGATACGGAGGTCAGGAGGATCCAGACGGGATGTCAATCGCAGGGGAGGGACATCAGTTCACTGGTGAGATGTCGCATGTTTTCTACGGGCACGCCGGATGCGACTGGTGGCTGCTGAGACAGCAGCAAGTAGCAACCTTCGCCCGTCTTGACTGCTGTTCAGCATCCAGTTGTCTAAATGACCTGATGCACTTTCTGACTTCTGATGACTATCACCTTGCCATAGCTCTCAGCACCTCGGAGCTAAGCTGAGGTGATTTTAGGGCAGACTCGATTTCCATTATGCTGCTGAGTAGTCAAAGGAGCTCTGTTGAACCAGCGAAGTCTTGAGCCAAACTGAACTATACCGATAGCTCTTACATTGAGTTGAGACCAGAAAACTGATCTGTCCGTCTGGCCGGGAGTTTGGGTGGACCGCCGTGACCCACTGTCTACCGACCTGACGACCGGATCCTTGGGTCGATCGGTCCGGGAGATCGCATTGTACGCGTCGGGAGGGCCGTCCTCCGGTCCCTGAAACCTGCTGATGTGTGGGTGGGTCGTGGGGCGTTCCGCTACTGAGAGATTCGGCACCAATCGGTCGTTAGAGGACTCCGCACATGGGCCTGACGTGTGGGCGGTGCGGGGCCGCGCGTGCCTCGCAGGAGTGCTGGAATCGCTGATCAGAGGGTACTTGTGCGTCGATTGGAAGTCCGAGGCGCTGGCGGCAGCTACGAGATTGTCTGTACATTGGACAAGGTTGTCATTGCCAAACATTTTTCTGGTCTGGTCTGGTCCACGTGTCTATTGGTCCAAGCTTGTCTCACTACGTTTTTAGGTTATGGTCGGGTATTCTGTTTTGGCTGGTAATAGTGGATGTTATGACTGGACACGAGATAAACATATGATAACATGTTCTTTATTACTAGGCTTGTCTGCTTCTGTTGTGTTCTGTGAATGCTGGATCTGTCGTGTGCTGGTATGTTCCCTGGACACTACCCATCTGTTCATTGCTGTTGAGAGTAATGCTACTTTATGTCGATAGTCGATATCAATAGTGCAATATGGCAAGCGTTCCTGTGGATTTCGGTATTGTGAATAAGGTTTATGTTCCGTTACGTTTTTATTTTGTGCCCTCAAAGAAGGTTATTCGTATATTGCCGCTTTTTTGGTCATTGGTCACGACACTCAAGTTCGTCGGTCTCAACGGACTGACTGAGCCAAGTTCTCTCGTAGATGCTCCAATTGGACGACTCTCCCGACTCGCACTGTATACAATGGCGTAGTGCATGTCATTGCTAGCTAATTGTTGTGCCACCATTCAGCTTTAAACCATAGAAGCTTGCCCGCTCGAAAGCTGAATACCACAAGAATACGTTATGGTCACATGGAATAGGTATGTGATGCTCCGTGTTGAGTGTTGACATGTTGTGGGGACTTTCTATCGTGTATCAGCTCGCTAACTGACATTTGTTCCTCTCTGTTTCAGATTTTTTATACTTAATTTTTAGCAAGTATGAATGAGTTGGATACATTGAGACAAGAGGCCGAGATATTAAAAAATACTATTCGAGTAAGTACCTTTGTGTGTTGTGTCTACACCCTGACCCATGATTAAATTGACTCAGTGTTTGTCGGCCGTCACGCAGAAACCATCCCCATCCCTGACCTGTCTCTGTGCCATGTCAATTGGTCTGATCGCTAACACTTGCTGCCCCTGTTTTGTTTTTCTTTTTTTTCTGCGGAATCCTGACGTTCTTTTGGTCATTATTATCCTGTTCCTGTTCTCTCGAGAAAATGAGCGAATGAATAAGCAATTTTTGATTAAGCATGGCGCAATGTTACACATATCGGCCACATCAGGAAATTAGCAATCCTCAGTGGTTTGCGCCTTTATTTAAGTGTTTAAATAATGCCACAAGTTGTAATGATCAGATCACATGATGCAGCGAAAAACCGTTGTTTTTTTTCAGTGAACTATCTTGCAACTTTCAATGTAATCCATCCGTCATTAATGGAAAGTGTGTCGTTCACGTCCCAGTAGGGTCAGTAGGTATGGCATGCACCACGCGGCTAATATAGTGCTGCATCGACCCGTCTGTGTTCGAAAAGAAACATTTAGAATTGAATCGACGCGGAAATAGGGGCTGGATTATGACACGAATACGGGACTAGGCCAGATGGCCACCCCTTCTCGTGAGTTGCGATCCCATCCCCTGCCCAATGCCCTCGCCACCTGCGAACGGGCTCTATCCCGAACCTGCGGCAGTCTTTATGCATAATCCAGATTTGTAGACTGATACGGTTGTCTCACCCGGACCTAAGATGGCCCTCCGTCCTTAGACTCCAGAAATGGCGAGCAAATGGTGGACGGGCACCGCTCTCTGAGCCGGACCTCCGCAGTCCTCGAGTCCAGACTTCTGGACGAGCGCCGCTCCCTGACCCGGACCTGCGCCGCTCCTGGAGACTTGAGGGGGACGGACGGAGGCAGGACGTGCTCTAGGGCCCGTCCGACGGATGGGGAATTAATCAGCGCTGCCACACTCCTCGTGCCGAGAGAGGCGTCCTGGCGGCGCGTCGGCCACCGTTTCGGCACGGCCAGCATGTCAGCAAGTCGTACACGGCCGTTTGACTCATCAGTCAGATTTAACGCGGCCTCAGACGCTGTCAAAATGTATGAGATGAGATGAATGCTACTAGGGTAGTTTTGTTTTACTGAACTGCGTGAAGCGTTAAACACTTCATGCTAGTGAAGTAAGTAACATCTTCGTAACTGTAGCATGTTACCTTTGTAAATGTTGACCATCCTGGACCATCATGCATTTTGTCATGAAATCTGAAAAAGCTGACGAATAATGCAAAGTGTTGTCACGTGAAAATGTATGGATGAGAATTCCCCAGCCGTCTAAAAGTTTTTCCTGGCGGACGCCTGTCGACCTCATCTTCAGAATCAGGCGGTGTTCGCCAGCCACTGTAGTCTGCCTACCATCACGGCAACCAGCCACGGGGCCTGCATACGGCCACCGCAGGTGGTTTATCCGCGCCTGTATCGGCTCGCGGCCCGGCGCCGAATCTGGACACCGCCAGCGGCCAATCAGAGCGACAGGTGACGTCACACCGCCGCGTCGGCCGGCGCTGATTGGCTGCCGCGGCGGGCGTGACGTGGCGGCGGCTTGTCATCGGGTGGCGGCGGCTGAGCCCGATCGAGATATTTTCGTCCGATCAATAGCGCGTGTGTAAGATGGCGGCCACAGGGGGCGTGCCAAGGCCGGCCGAACGGCGTGCGTGCGGCCGTGCCCGGCGCCGGGCGCTCATGGCACTCCGACGGGGAGGGGCTCCCAGCAGGGTGGCTGAGATTGGGGTCTGAGGTAGGGGGACGAGGGATGGACGATTCCGTGCACGATAGAATGATATGAGAGTTGATTGGTGCTTTATTAAATTCGGGCGTAACATAACTATTTGCGAGATTTGCGAATGTAGTCTACGGTCTCCGTGTATTCTTTCCTATTCTTATCCGAGTCACGCTGCTCCATGCTTGATAAGTACACGAGTAAAAACTTTGTCAGTTTATTTTAACGAACCATAGCAAGGTTAAAGTTAAAAGAAAGAAGAATCTCATTTTTTTGCAAAGGAAATTAGTATCTCGGGAACTGGCGAACGCGCCCCGCCAACCGTTCCCTCTTAGTTCCTGTTGTTGCCGCTAGATGTCGTAGGTGTCGAACGCCTGAATATAGGCTGTGCCGCATAGCATATGAACAGCTCTGAGGCCTATGCGACGCTGTAGGTTCAGCAGCCGCGTTCATCTGAGTGCTGCTGCATTAAAACATAGGATGCAGGTTAGCAGAGGAGTCATATTTTTTAAATATTGCTCTAAATAGTTGAGCGAATGCCACGTTTACTCTTGGACACCGGCACAGTCGCACACGTGTCGGATTTCACCGTGATCATTGCGCAATTCAATCATTATTTTTGATTAATCGCATGTGGTTGGCGACTTCAATTTGCCAAGATTCTGAACTTTCCCTTTCTTCCCTTTAACATTTACTCCGATCTACGTGGGCGAGCGCGAGCGAGACTCAAGTCTTATCTCATAGTTTTGGGTGATGCGCATCGAAATTACTTCACCCTTGAGTGCTCCTCAGTTGCAACTTTTGAATAGCTCAGCTACCACCTGCTGCACGTTTCTCTCATTTCGAATTCTCTCTGATGAGTGTTCCTCCGTTATGGGTAGACGTTTCCCCGTCACTAGATCTTCTGCCGTTCCTCATGCCATGTCTGCCCCCCACTCTGTACGATCCCCCGTAACCAGGTGTGTCTGTGGAGGAACGGCCCGGTAACAGTTCGACAGCGCCGGGAACTCGACCGTCCATCACCAGCCGACACGGTCGAAGCCACCGGGCCAGGCGGTCTCTCAGCCATCCCCTGACCAACGCTCTGCGGTGTGCCGAGATCGTCACACTGCTGTGCTCGTTTTCATGCTTTAAAGTGTTGGTGGCCGTTGAAATTGCGAAAGCTACCCGACACTGTCATCATCATCATTCCATGTGTTATGTGTTGCTTCCCTATGTCATTGCTATTGTTGTGCTTAATTTTATTGAACACGAACTTTTTACTTTTGTGCTTTTTTGCTTATTCATTTTTATGCAATATCATTTTTATATCCCATTGATTTGTGTATTCAGCATTTTGTTCCTGGTTCTATCTTCTTCCCTTTGATAAGACGTGGTGCTCAAGCATACTATGTTTGCTGCTCTGAGCTTTCACTTTCGTGACTCACACTGTCTGTGGTTTGCCGGCGTCCATGTCCGCCCCTACCCGCAGGACCATGTTGACCGTAACACGCAAATTCTCGCCCTTCTCTGATATTATATGGGCGTGCAATGTATTTTTGCTAATATTCTGACGGTTTGTTTTCAGGATGCCCGGAAGGCGGCGTGTGACACCACCCTTGTGCAGGCAACTGCCACAATGGAACAGATCGGACGAATACAAATGCGCAACCGACGAACGTTGCGCGGCCACCTCGCCAAAATCTACGCCATGCACTGGGGCTGCGACTCGCGGTACGTAATCAGATCTACGCCAGATTCCGCGGTCCTCTATAATATAAAAAAGTGTCCCGATATAGTGTTCCGGTGCAATATAAATCCTTTGTTGGCTCAATGGGTGGGTGTCTGTAAAAAAAAAAACGCGTTTGTTATGTAAGGACATGAGTCTGAACCTTTTGTCTGTTCCCTGGGATAAAGATAGAGGCATTGGGACAGACTAGCATCCGGGAAACAATTTAAGAAACTAGGTAATTATAGAGTGGAAATCGTAGTAATATGCATTGATGTGAATCCAAAACAAGCACACCTTCCTTGAACCAGTTGAACCTCTCCCAACATACATATGTGGCACTAAATCATTCCGTCAGTGCTAAGTTTGTACATAATATGCCGCTAAGGAACAGTTAAACTGGAACATTTCGTTGTTCGCTCTCATGGTCGTATCGCTTCAGGAAAGAAACAATTCTTGTATTTCTTTTTTAATAAATCTTAAACATTCTGTAGGGGGTCGCGCAAAATTGGAAAATCTGACCTGCATAGTGGCGCTCCATGAAGCCAGGCAACTGTATATACAGTGATAATCGCTGAGCGCTGAGGGGCCACTGACGTTACTCCTCTGTCTTGGTCGCCTCATTGCCACTACCATCTGGTCTCTGATGACCAAAACGTGCTGCTCTGCACTTTGTGAATGCTTACGCTGTTTTGCTTCCTTTCGCTGGTAGGTATAGTAGGCATACCTTATTTTCGTTAGCGTCTGTTATTGTTCTGATGGCTAAAACAGTGACAGAAAAATGGCTGCCTTTCCCTCAGATGGTTTTCGCACGACAACATGTTTCTAGATTCCATATCCTACATCCATTTCCTATCGTCGAGTCAGTGATGGCTGATGGTACGTGTTTTCTTCTTCGCATTGACGCTGTGCATATGTAATGGTATGTTAGTGGTCATGTTTGGGGCTAGAAGGTTCCGTTTAGACACCTTCGTCACTTAGTGCTGTCCATTGACCCTAAAGCAAAGTGGCGATATCCTTAGGGTATTCTCTGGGTGGGTGTATCTCTTACTCGCGAGTGGCGGGCTCGCCTATGTGCTACTCGACTATAACTAGATTTAGTTAGATAGAGCGTGTGAGTGGGTGGGTACGAGCTCTGTGAGTGGAGAGAGCTGCATGGTAACATCAGTAGATGCCGGCCCGGCTGAGTTGAATTAGCCGACCTGGATTGGTTCAGTTAGTTACCGTGTCACTTGTAGATGGGGTCCTAGTGTCGGTGGTTCCCCTCTGGATTCTAAGCGGGCCAAGTGCCACTAGACGGCTCACATAATGTGCATCTTGTAAAGTTGTATTCACGCGGTAACTTTGAAATGTGTCGATGGATGCTCAAAGGGTTGAATATCGGCAAGGATTCGGAATTATTGAAAGTAAGAATCGATTAGCACTTTTGGTGTAATGCAATTTAAGATAGGACTGAACTTTGGTAAATCCCCGCGAAGCATTGGCTGAATTATGGAGGTAATATGACCCTGGAATCCATCGTTCTACTGACCTTTGACGACCATTCCTGCCGTGACCCGCTCTCACCGCATATCTTGAGGTTCTAATGTGACAATGCTGAATAGGTACACCCTCACATCCTTTTTGGGGTTACTTTTGCTCTGAACGGAGCAGATAAGACAATTGGTTGAGTCAATTTTGGAAACCTTGGGTGAAACCAGGTGTAGCCCAACAACAACAACTGTTCGCCGTACGGTGTCAGAAGGAGATATTTCCCCCTTTGAATGTAAGTATTGCATTTAACTGACCAAGACCTCGCCTACCGACTCTTCCAAAAAGTATGTTTACAAACTGCACAGGAGCTTTAGTCTATCCACCTTCCTGCACGTCTGTCTGACGATCATTAGTGAGATAGGCGCGCGGAAAGTGATTCCCCGGCCCCAGCGAGGCGCGTGCGGCGCCCGGCTCTCTCATTTGCCGGCCGGAGCGGATCCTGGATGGAGCGGCGGCGGCTCAGAGCCGCTGACGTCACTGCACCGATCCGTGCACGGTCCGGGCGGCTGGTGAGATCCCTCCCGAACTCGGCGGTACCTGCCATAGAGCCACCACGGGGGACAGCCCCCCCCCCCCCCGGTTGTGATGCTGCCGTCGACCGGCCTTCTCGGCGCCGGGAATAGCCTCGTCTCCGGGTGATGGGCCCGGCCGGCGGCAGTGACGCTGTCGGCGCATCGACCACCGCCGGCCGCTGTTCCCATGGCCGGCCGGCGGCGGCGGCAGCGGCGGCGGACCGCCGCGCCGGCCGGCAGGTCGATACCGCCCGCCGCCCGCCGGCCGCCGGCCGCCGACTGACTCAGAACCGACGTTGCCTAGCAACGCGGTAGCTGATGTCACCGCGGCAAGGGGAGCTGAGGGCGGTCGCGTGGGCGGGGGGCGGGGCCGGGGCGCCGCGGCAAGGGGAGCTCTAAGTGGGCTGATCGGTCTTTGGCTTGTTCGTCTTTTGTCCGAGATAAGAGCGGAGTGTGCTCTCACGGGGCCAGCCCGCTCGCTGCTGGCCCAGCACTCAGATTCTCTCAGGGGCGAGTTGGTATACAAGGGAGCGACTTTTGTTACATCAGGCTGTTGCCATCGAATCCTTCATAACGAATATTATATATTTGCTGAAGGATTTGGCAAAACGTAACGAAATCAGGCATCAATATGTGGTGAGCTGTGAGCACGTTGCCAGCCGCACCAAGCTCCGACCAGAGGTATGCACGTCACGAAATCCGCCCGAGATGGGTGGGTGGAATTGGTTTGGCGCCGTCGAGGAACAAAAGTCCCAAACGGTCCCCCTCAATGCTGCTGTAAGGATTGACCGTCATTGCGTCATCTCTGGTGATATTAACCACGGGCTCTCCTTTTAGCAACACAAACGATGTTTTGGGCGCCACGTCCGCATGTTTCATCACTTCGGCGATCGTCTCTGTCTGTGCTCTGACCAGCTGTTATTCTGTGTCATTGCCAGGAACCTGGTGTCGGCGTCTCAGGACGGCAAGCTGATCGTATGGGACAGCTACTCGACCAACAAGGTGCACGCCATCCCTCTGCGCTCCTCATGGGTCATGACCTGCGCCTACGCTCCTTCGGGCAACTTCGTGGCCTGCGGCGGTCTGGACAACATCTGTTCAATATACAGGTGAGCTCAGGCGATGCGGGCGGCTGCGCTGCTCCGAAACAGGCTATTTAGGTGCCGTATTGTGCGGCGCTACGTGGGTAGATTCATCTGTGCCTAAATATAGGGGGCGATATTAGTGGATAGGGCCGGCGCAGCGGACGGCGTTGATGTTTGCTGGGATATTTATAAACGTTGCATAATGCTGCACCACCTGTGTTTGAAGGTGTTGTTTCGAACAACATGGTTCAAACATGCTTGTTTGGCGCAGCTGCCTATCTCTGACCCTCCGTGTGGTGTGTGGTGTGTGCTGCAGCCTGAAGACCTGGCGATTTTACCCGTGTACCGCTCTGACCTGTCTGACCTCTCTCCCCAGCCTGAAGACCCGGGAGGGCAGTGTGCGCGTCAGCAGAGAACTGCCCGGCCACACGGGCTACCTGAGCTGCTGTCGGTTCGTCGACGACAACCAGATCGTGACCAGCTCCGGTGACATGACCTGGTCAGTGCTGCTGGAGTCAGCAGCTGGACCTCGTCCAAAGCATAACATGTCCCTAACTGTGGAACGATCCTGAACTCAATCAGACGCATATTCTTGAGAAGTATTTGCCAGACTTCAATAAGGCTTCACGCTTGGCTTCACGAGTCTTTAGAAAAACTCAGTCAGGCTCATATAGGCCAACCCTGGGTTTTCACCCTTTTGCTAGCTTGCCCGTTGCCAACGCCGTGGACAAAAGTCGCTTCTGTCAGTGGCCCTGTTCACTTTCGGAGAGGGAAGTGCTTCGATCGACACGTCTGTTTCCGCTAGTCTGTTTTCTTACTGCTTCGAATTCACACTGTTGGTTATTCATGACTCCCGTTTCAATTATACGTTATGGGGATGTGTGATGTCGCTAAACGAAAGTTTCCAATGTCGGCCTGTATTCATTATGCGTTCATTTATGCGTATTCTGTGTCACCCTCGTCCATGCTGTCAATCGGTATGTAAAATATCGTGTGACCGGAATATATAATTATGCCGCCTAACGCTAAACGAGCAGGTTTGCTGTGTGTGACAGCTTGTGAAAGAGAACGGTGCATTTTTGATGGCATGAGCTGCCTCTCTTTCTCTATTTATTTCCCTCTTCCTCTCCTTTTCCCTCTTTCCCTCTGATTCTCTCTCTCTCTCGCCCTCTTTCCCTCTACTTCTCTCTCTTCCTGTTCTTCTCTCCCTATTCCTCTCTCTCTCCCAATCTCCCCCTCACTCGCCCTCCAAAACTGCACTATCATCACGTTTATAGATAAGCTCCAGCCCAGTTTCCCGTGTCGATGTCCCCTGATCTCCCCTGCCCTCTCCGCCCTGCCGACAGCGCGCTCTGGGACATTGAGACGGGCCAGCAGTGCACGGCGTTCACCGGTCACACCGGGGACGTCATGTCCCTCTCGCTGGCGCCCGACATGCGCACATTCGTCTCCGGCGCCTGCGACGCCTCCGCCAAGGTAACGATGATGGGGATGTGACGGGATGGTATGGAAGAAATGCATGGTTGTGGTTGAAATTGAGCGATTCGTTTTTTCTGTTTTTTTTTTCTTGTTCTTTTGGTGATATTGTTTATTGTTAGCCCCAATGTGCACTGACAATCATGACATCAAATTATGTTTTCCCAATTTTCTGATGTGAACAGTATTCTTGATGCTACTCCAACCCATCGAACTGCTGTCATAAGGTCATCTAATGTTTTTTCTCTTTCCCATACCCCCCTGATTTCGACGCTTGTGTCATTTACCAGCATTACACTCGTTGCCCGAGTCGTGTGGCCCTCTCATACGACTCCAGTAGTGCACCCCACTGACTCTGCCACCGCCCTGCTCTGTCCGGTAGCTATGGGACGTACGAGAGGGCGTGTGTCGCCAGACCTTCTCCGGACACGAGTCAGACATCAACGCCATCGGGGTGAGTGACCTGTCGGCGGCAGCTGTATGCGCGTGCGTGGTCCTACAGTCGGTTTTAGAGAGCTTACGACACGGATTGTCATTGTCTGCTCAAGGGGTTGTTAAGCAAAGACAGATAAGAATCGTTGAACTTAGAAGCCAGGCGTCTCTATCTTTGTATCGATATCTTCTCTTTCAATTCTGGTTATGCATTTTACGAAAGCAGATTAACTTGAATCGTAGATAACAAAATAGAACTTATTGTGGCAATGCTCATCATACATCTGCCATCCATAGGTGTCTATGCTGCAGCTCTGATGTTTCCTTTCCTATCGCACTTAGCGCGTGCCCACCTCTCCCAGCCTGCTCTGAGACCACCTCTCACCATCACCCTCCCTCGGCAGTTTTTCCCGAGCGGGAACGCGTTCGCCACGGGCTCGGACGACGCCACGTGTCGCCTGTTCGACATCCGCGCCGACCAGGAGCTGGCCATGTACTCGCACGACAACATTATCTGCGGCATCACCAGCGTGGCGTTCAGCAAGTCTGGCCGCCTGCTGCTGGCCGGATACGACGACTTCAACTGCAACGTCTGGGACGCCATGCGCACAGAGCGGGCCGGTACGTGCGGTTGGAGGGGAGAGGGGGAGATAGGGGTTCAATTTAACAGTCAACTGCAGTCATGGAGAACGAGAACTTTGGGACGCCATGCGCACAGAGCGGGCCGGTACGATGCCCGAGAGTGCAGGACGGGGAGGGTGCCTGCGTTGAAGGGAGAAATATGCGTCTCTTTTTCTTACTCTTTTTTTTCTCCTCCGTACTGATACGTGGCTCTTAGTTATGATTGATACTCTGATTGCAAGTTGTGCCTTTTTGACGAAATCACTCGTTAGCGTGCACCAGCAGGTAGTCCATTTGCTAATTTTTTATCTTTCACTCTCGTTATTTTGTCACAAAATAAGAAATTGGTTTTGAAAGGATCAACACCTTTAATACCATGCGGTCGCCTGATTTTCACCGTGCATTGTCTGAGCCGCCTCGCTCCATTATTTCCAAGTTCATCCCAACACTTCACTATCGCGTCTATTGACTTATGGCTACCTCTCTCTGTTTCAGGCGTGCTGGCCGGTCACGACAATCGGGTCAGCTGTCTGGGCGTCACAGAGGACGGCATGGCCGTCTGCACCGGCTCCTGGGACAGCTTCCTCAAAATCTGGAACTAGCCGGCCGCCCGACACAGCGGCCGCCGCCAGCCGTCGCGTGCGTCAGTATCGTTTTATTTTGGCTTTTATCTGGGAGCCGCGTGGCCGGCGTCTACGCGGCGCGGGCAGGAGCGCGGACAGCGCCGAGCTGATGTCCGCCGCGCCGCCCCGCCGCCGCCTCGCCGCGCTACCTCTCTGTAGAGTCTTGTGTTTAACGGCAAAATAATCATCATGTGATTTGCTGTGAGGCGTCGGTTATTTATAATGTGCCGTTTGCCAGGTGTTGGTGCGAGCGGCGCGGCGCGCGCCGGGCGGCTGGGTCCGCCGCGGCAGCGCCGCCGGCTGCCCCACCCGGAGGACTGCAGCGCGGCCGAACAACATCTCCAGGGCTCAGGGCCGCGCTGCTGTCAGCCGGCTGGGTGTGGCCGGCGCCGGGCGCCGCCGCCTGCCGACCGCCGCGCCGCCGCCGGGCCGGCCGGCCGCCGCCGCCGACCGCCGCGCCTCCCCCGCCTGTCCCTTCGGGCGGCGCCGCGCGGCCGGGGCGGGCGGCCGACCGGCGCGGCGGCGGCACGGAGCGTCCGGCGCAGGTCGCCGCCGCTCGCCGGCCGCGCGCAGTCTGTTCATGTTCGTGTTTCTTATACCGAGGGTAGAGCTGCGCGGCGGGCCTGCAGCCGACGGGGCCGAGAGAGAGAGAGAGATAGCTTTTCTAGGGGTGCCGCCGCTCCGACCGGGCCGGACCGGCACGGCACGCGCGCGCCACCAGACTCGGTTCCCACTCGGCCTATGTTCCTTTGACGAAATTTTTACGCTATAGCTTCTATATCGTTCGTGGATTTTGTCATGTAAGGAACCATCCGATTTGTCCAATAAAATACTTGTCTTTACGACTGTACTGTGTGGCCTGGATTTCGGGATAAGACATCGTGGTTGTGGGGGATGTGGGAAGGGATAAGCGTCTCAACGCGGCGCTCGTCTACGGCTGAGCTTTTGTTATCACTTATCAGTCGTGGCATGGGCAATGGGTTTTGCAGCTTGGCAGTGACTGCTGGGGAACGGCACAGCCACATACCAGTTTGTTATTAGCGCTGTCAGCCGGCCGAGAGCAGCGGCTGCTGCAGATACTGTCTAGTGTCTAACGAGGAAACTGCCGTCCCAGAGTCACGTTTCAGTTTCGGATCAGCCTCGCGGTGCAGGCTGAGCTGTGCACGTTTGCGTCACATCTAAATTCTAATAGGTGAGTTTTAGACAGCGGTATCACTGATGTCTGTGGGGATATCTTTCATAGCATTGCGACTTACATACATCCACTGTATTTCCTACGGTCAATAATGGAGGCTGATGTGTAAGGTTGTGCTTCTCGCGCTTCTAGCCCTAGGTATCTCGCTTCTAGCTTCGTGGCAGATGCCGAGGTGTCGCAGAGGCGGATGGATGGGGCAACAAAAAGGAAGAAAAAGACTATTGAGGCATTTATGACGTTTGTGACGCAGCCGCAACCATTTGTTGACAACGCTTCAAATCATTTCCCGAAGTTGTGGTTATTTTTCTTTATTCAGTGTACTTAGCAATATTTTTCGCAAATTATGTGATGGGGACAATACCATCGACTTCTGGCATATTGATATTCCATTCTTTGTTTCCATAAACCCAAGGCTATGTAAACCTTTAAGCCCAAGGATGTCAATGTTGTGGTTTGGGTTGTTGGTGATAAACAGAATGAGAAGGCACATTTATTTCAATTTAAAATTTTGATCAAAACCACTTAAATGGAATGCTTCACAAGAGCAGAGTCCCTTCTATTCAGAGTTTGTTGTGTTGGCCCTGCCCTCTACCGAGGCTGTATAAATACCACCCACTCTACCCTCCAATTGTGTAGTTCCTTCCAACCGCAGTTGACGCGCCTGTAAACCCTAATAAACAAACAAACTTCTTTATGACAGAATTTAGTGTCTGATGACATATGTACGCACATAGCCGCACTTGGCTGGTCAGAGCCCTGATCGGCGGCCGGCTAGTACTCTTGCCCGCGCTCACATACGTGCACGTTACCCCGGCAACGGGCTATTGACCAATGAGAAGCGAGAAAAGTGTTACGTCACTGCGATTTTTCATATACCTGTGCCCCCCGGACGTGACGTAGTGTGCTCGCGTGCGTGCAGGGTCTCTGCGATCGAAAAAGAGCGCTAGCAGCGCGCCACTCGACGCCGCAATTGTCTAAAGCGGCGTGTTAGTATGCTTTATTATGAATGATGTGTGTAAAAGTGAGTTTTTACGTTGTTTATTTGGAGGAAATGGTTGGAATAAATTAAGTTATTTTTATTTCTGTTGATTGGAGTTTTTCTTAAAAAGATTTCGGTCTATAGCATTGATATTTACTGAAAATACCTTCGCTTGAATAAATAGAGGCCTCCACGGTGACGTCACAAACTATTTTTCGTAACTGGCAACGCTGACTGGTAGGCAAAACAAACCGGGCGATCGCGGCCATTTGCACTGGCGTCTCGTGGTTTATCGGATTGTGAGAGCTGTTTTCGATAGTTTTTTCTCTAGTTTGTGTTTTTGTTCGTGATGTACGACTCCTCACGATACAAAGCAAAGCTCTGCCTGGGAGAGAAGGTATTTCCTGATCCGTACAAGATCGATGAGGCCTACTGGATCTCGGACAGTTTCGAGAAGCTCCCACTCGTGCTGTTTCCAGATATATTTGCGTATCTGGTCTCCACTTCTGGCACTTTCACGTCCGACAACTTGAAAGCTTTCAAGTCACTAGATGCTTGGAATGTGTTTTTGTCTAGTCATGTTGGCCCACTCAAGCTCTGCTCAGTGGATACCAGTGGTGTTTTCGTGAAGGCAGAGGTACAGGCCAGTCAGACGGCTTCAAAGTCGTATAATGCATGGGTGCTCTGCCACCCCAATGGCAGTGTTATGTCTGCCCACTGCCAATGCATGGCAGGACTTGGAGAAGTGTGCAGCCATGTGGCAGGTGTGCTCTACAAGATCCAAGCAGCCGTACTCCACGGACTGACAGAGAATGCACCAACAAGCAAGGCCTGTCAATGGAATCATCAGACAGCTACGAAGAAGGTGGAGCCCAGCAAGGTCCTTGACATTGCAGCAGACATGGGCATTCCTGCCAAGCGAAGCAGCGTCGAGTTCATCATGTCTGATGCTGCATTTCAGACAGAGCTGCAGGATCTGCCTGCTGGGTGTGCGCTGCAAAGCTCTCTGCCAGTCAGTGGTGATGTTGTGGATGGCAGGACTGAGCTGCCATATCCCATCTACAAGATGTTCTCCATCTTGAAGAAGATAGCTCCTAGTGATGCTGAGCCATCGAGGAAGTACTGTGAGATGCTGGTTAACAAACTGAAGAAGATGTACCCGAGTGATGTGATAGGGAACGTCGAGCGAGCTACTGTGGATCAGGGAGGATCGAAGGAGTGGCTTAACCAGAGGCATGGAAGGGTGACTGCTTCAGTGTTTGGTGAGGTGGTGAGCCATGTCGAGGGGGGACGACAGAGTGCATCATTGGTGCGTAAGATCGTGGAGCCAGCGTCCTGTAAGCTTACAGTGCCTGCTGTAGTCTGGGGACATACACACGAGGCAGATGCTTGTGTTGCTGTAGAAGGGGTTCTGAGCTCTATGCATAGTGAGCTGACAATTCGTAAGTGTGGGCTGTTCGTCAGCCCTGACCACCCCTACCTGGCTGCCTCCCCAGATGGTATCATTGAGTGTGCATGCTGTGGGACATGGGTTCTGGAGGTGAAGTGCCCCTTTAGCCTGAAGGACAAGTCTCCGCAGGAGGCTGGGTTTCTAGATGAGAATGGGCACCTCAAAGCAGAGCACCCGTACATGATGCAGGTGCAGGGACAGATGATGGTCTGTGGGCTAAAGTCATGTGCATTTTGTGTGTATGTGCCGGGGCAGAAGCCCCATGTTCTGGTGATAAAGTACATGGAGAGCATGGGTGACTACCTGGTGAAGGTTCTTGAAACCTTTTATGTGAAAGAGATTGTGCCAGCACTCCTGAAGTGATGTCATAGCTAGCGACTGTGCCGGGTGCCCATTAGTGCACATGTAGGTTGTTCTGTCACTGACACCAGATGGTCGTGTTGATTTTGCTATGCTGGCTGCATTGATCATCATTGTCTGGCTGACAAATATATCTTTTGTGCTAGCTTATCTTTATAACAAGGGTTTGGGTTATGGCGTGATGCTGGTGCTACAGGTGATGCTGATTACGAACTATAACATCTGTTTGTGACCTCACACAAATCATTTGCAAGTCTGTTTTATTCATCAACAATGTCACTGTCATGAAAACAAACTCAATTGAGTTTGTTTTCAATACATGATCGGAGCATGTTACCAGCACTTAGTACCATCTAATCATGCATTCCATGGAGTTTTGGGGCATCTCACGGAACCACACTTGGATGCAGGTTTATGATACCTGCACACACACAAACAACATCATCTACCTGCGTGTACATGGTGACTGGCAATGTAGACTTCAGAATGCGAAACTTCGTTCTCATTCTACCAATGACTCTTTCAACATGGATTCTAGCTCGAGACAAAAGCCTAGACTTCTCTACTTCTGCCCTAGGAAGCTGGGCTTGACCACGAACAAATGCTGGTGTCAAAACTTTGAGATTGTACAGAGCCATTTCTGTAGAAACGGTAAACCCCCGGTCCGCCAACACCACATCGAATGGATCAAGGATGTCAATGAGCTCAGATGACAGTGTGATCTTTTTGTCTGATGATCGACCTCCCCAGACTGGAGACAAGAATGTAATTGCCCCAGCTGGTGACACACCAATTAGAACCTTGCATGTGTTATGGTGTTTGTAGGAACTGAACATTTTCTTTCTGGATGTGAGATGCCTTGGCCTGTCTGTAAAAATTTCAAAGCAGTCAACTACCACTCTGACCTTTCGAAGTTCGGGATAACGGAAGCAGAGAGGGAGGTTGGCCTGTATGCTTTCCCTTGATGGCCAGATGATGAGCCTCCTGCACATTGCAGCCATTGGACTGAGGGTTCCTTGAACGATCTTTGATACCAAGGACCTGCTTACACCAAAACGCCATGCAAGATCCTGATTGGTTGTCCCAAGCCTGAGCTTCATCAACACCATAAGAACCATGTTGTGCACAGACAACCTGGATATTTTGCTAAGGTCGCACCCCAGACAAAGAACCCTTACAAACCACATGAACATTGCTAGGGATGGGAACCCGGTATAAAATTTAAATTCCTCTTCATTCTCTTTCAAAGTCTCAAATGAGTTATGCTTTTTGCTGTTCAACAGCTGCTCACACTCCTCCTTCAACGATGTGACTTCAGCCTCCAGCTTATGAATTCTATCAAGTAGAGCTGAGACGACTGTCTTGTGGTTTTCTCCCCATGTACCATCAGTATTGCAGCCAACCTCACGGGTGCCAGTTGCTGCTGACATCTCCAGCAGTGCCTCTGCAGCTCTGGCCTCTTCAATGCTGACCTGCAAGATAACAAAAAGTAGGCATTGTTATCAACAAAATAGAGATAGTTACCTACTTCTTGGTGCCAGGAAAACTGGTTGAACTGGTAGGTACCTAAGTAGCCAATGTTTGTAGCTCACCTGAGACACTGGTTCTTCGGCTGTACACATTTCATCTTGATCTCCAGATGAAGCCGACAGGTGGAGAGACGCATGCTGTTTCTGAGCTGATCTTTGTTGGGCCCTTTCTGCTCTCTTCACTCCGCCGATCCCAACGTTGCTGGCATGCTGAGATGACGGGAAGTTGAAGACACTTGGTACCCAGTCAGGACTCCCTTTCTCACTGACTGGTGCCCCTGTAATTGAATAAATATATCAAAATTTGTCTAGGTGGTGGATCAACTTTC